GTAGAAGAATAAGCAGACCTAAGCACAACTTCCTTCGTTTAATCAAACTTTATGTATTTGTTAATAGTTTGGCAAGATTTAAATTTCGATTTAAAGCTTTCGTGACTGCAATGATTCATCTTCTTTGGTTCTTTCGGTAAAGTCACGTAGAATGAGAATAAAATAATAAATTGATAAAATAAAATAACACAATAATATTCTCACGACGTTTCGGCCACAACACAAGCGGCCTTCATCAGGTGAAGGGGCGAGACTGTCTGGTAGGACAGCGCTGGAGTGAAAGAGCCACGTTCAGATCACGGCCTTTAAGCTGTGTGAGAGGAACAAAGCGCCTTAGAGTCGCGGCATCTCTTCAGAAAGGTGAGAGACTCCATTAGTTGAGCCTTCTTATCCCGAAGTCTGTTGAATGATCTTAAGGATGTGTGGAATCCCTCCCCGTAGAGGCGGTTAAATTTCGATTTAAAGCTTTCGTGACTGCAATGATTCATCTTCTTTGGTTCTTTCGGTAAAGTCACGTAGAATGAGAATAAAATAATAAATTGATAAAATAAAATAACACAATAATATTCTCACAACGTTTCGGCCACAACACAAGCGGCCTTCATCAGGTGAAGGGGCGAGACTGTCTGGTAGGACAGCGGTGGAACAACCCCATATGAGTGGGACAAACGCATGGAAAAATAAGAAGCCCTAAGTACAACTTTCTTTGTTTCATCAAACTCGACGTATTTATTAAAACATATTTTTTTAAGATTGAGACCCAATGGGGTTGCGAGGCTGCAGTGAATGTCACGAACCACTGCGGTGTTGTGTGCAGTGTGGAGGGCACACGGGGGGGGAGGGGCACACGGGGGGGGGAGGGGCACACGGGGGGGGGAGGGGCACACGGGGGGGAGGGGCACACGGGGGGGAGGGGCACACGGGGGGGAGGGGCACACGGGGGGAGCGAGGTGATTGGTTGATTCTCCGAGGCCTCCGGGTGCCCAATCAGCTGGCGTGGCACGCCTCGTGATGACGTCACGCGCAGGGAGCGCGACCCGGAACAGCGTGGAGATGGGTGAGTGGTGAGTGAGTGGTGAGTGATGGGTGAGTGGTGGGTGAGTGGTGAGTGAGTGGTGAGTGAGTGAGTGGTGAGTGAGTGGTGGGTGAGTGGTGGGTGAGTGGTGAGTAGTGGGTGAGTGGTGAGTGATGGGTGAGGTGTGGGTGAGGTGTGGGTGAGTGGTGAGTAGTGGGTGAGTGGTGGGTGATGGGTGAGTGGTGGGTGAGTGGTGAGTAGTGGGTGAGTGGTGAGTGATGGGTGAGTGGTGGGTGATGGGTGAGTGGTGAGTGAGTGGTGAGTGAGTGGTGAGTGATGGGTGAGTGGTGAGTGAGTGGTGAGTCAGAGTGGTGCGTAAGTGGTGAGTGAGTGCTGAGTCAATGAGTGAGTGAGCGGTGAGTGGTGGATGAGCGGTGGGTGAGCGGTGAGTGGTGAGTGAGCGGTGAGTGGTGGGTGAGTGGTGCGTGAGTGATGAGTGAGCGGTGGTTGAGTGGTGAGTAAGTGGTGAGTGCGTAGTGGGTTAATGAGTGGTGTGTAAGTGGTGAGTGAGTGAGTGAGGTGGTCAGTGAGTGAGTAAGTGGTGGGTGAGTAAGTGGTGGTAGCGTGAGTGGTGAGTGAGTGAGTGGTGGTTGAGTGAGTGGTGGTTGAGTGAGTGGTGGGTAAGTGTTGAGTAAGTGGTGAGTGAGCAAGTGATGAGTGAGTGGTGAGTGAGTGGTGGGTGAGTAAGTGATGAGTGAGTGGTGGGTGAGTGGTGGGTGAGTGAGTGGTGAGTGAGTGGTGGGTGAGTAAATGATGAGTGAGTGGTGGGTGAGTGGTGAGTGAGTGAGTGGTGAGCAAGTGGTGAGTGAGCAAGTGATCAGTGAGTGATGAGTGAGTGGTGGGTAACTGGTGAGTGAGCAAGTGATGAGTGAGCATCTGAACCGTTTCTGAGCCTCCCGAGGTACATTCGGCTTCTAGCGAGTAGCTGGTGCTGTGTGTAAACATCGCCACCAGGGAGACAAAGGCGGCCGGGCGTGGTGCTGACCCCCCCCCCCCACCTCGTGCGCCGTGCCGGCCTTCACAGAGACGCTCGCTCACGGAAACTTGCCCCGACAGTCCGCCAAAGCCAGCCCGAGAACGCCTTTAAACGTGGCCGCAAAGAGCACCTAGCCTGGCACCTAGCCTGGCACAGGCCTGGTACCTAGCCTGGCACCTAGCCTGGTACCTAGCCTGGTACCTAGCGTGGCACAGGCCTGGCACCTAGCCTGGCACCTAGCCTGGCACAGGCCTGGCACCTAGCCTGGCACCTAGCCTGGCACAGGCCTGGCACCTAGCTTGGCACCTAGCCTGGCACAGGCCTGGCACCTAGCCTGGCACCTAGCCTGGCACAAGCCTGTCACAGGCCTGGTACCTAGCCTGGCACAGGCCTGGCACCTAGCCTGGCACCTAGCCTGGCACAGGCCTGGTACCTAGCCTGGCACCTAGCCTGGCACAGGCCTGGCACCTAGCCTGGCACAGGCCTGGCACCTAGCCTGGCACAGGCCTGGTACCTAGCCTGACACCTAGCCTGGCACAGGCCTGGTACCTAGCCTGGCACAAGCCTGTCACACGCCTGGCACCTAGCCTGCAACAGGCCTGGTACCTAGCCTGGTACCTAGCCTGGCACCTAGCCTGGCACCTAGCCTGACACAGGCCTGGTACCTAGCCTGGCACAGGCCTGGTACCTAGTCTGGCACAAGCCTGTTACAGGCCTGGTACCTAGCCTGACACCTAGCCTGGCACCTAGCCTTGCACAGGCCTGGTACCTAGCCTGGCACCTAGCCTGGCACCTAGCCTGGTACCTAGCCTGGCACAGGCCTGGCACCTAGCCTGGCATCTAGCCTGGCACAGGCCTGGCACCTAGCCTGGCACCTAGCCTGGCACCTAGCTTGGCACAGGCCTGGCACCTAGCCTGGCATCTAGCCTGGCACAGGCCTGGCACCTTGCCTAGCACCTAGCCTGGCACCTAGCCTGGCACAGGCCTGGCACCTAGCCTGGCACAGGCCTGGCACCTAGCCTGGCACCTTGCCTGGCACAGGCCTGGCACCTAGCCTGGCACAGGCCTCGCACCTAGCCTGGCACAGGCCTGGCACCTAGCCTGGCACCTAGCCTGGCACAGGCCTGGCACCTAGCCTGGCACAGGCCTGGCACCTAGCATGGTACCTAGCCTGGCACAGGCCTGGCACCTAGCCTGGCACCTAGCCTGGCACAGGCCTGGCACCTAGCCTGGCACCTAGCCTGGCACAGGCCTGGCACCTAGCCTAGTACCTAGCCTGGCACCTAGCCTGTCACAGGCCTGGCACCTAGCCTAGTACCTAGCCTGGCACCTTGCCTGGCACCTTGCCTGGCACAGGCCTGGCACCTAGCCTGGCACCTAGCCTGGCACAGGCCTGGCACAGGCCTGGCACAGGCCTCGCACCTAGCCTGGCACAGGCCTGGCACCTAGCCTGGCACAGGCCTGGCACAGGCCTCGCACCTAGCCTGGCACAGGCCTCGCACCTAGCCTGGCACAGGCCTGGCACCTAGCCTGGCACCTAGCCTGGCACAGGCCTGGCACCTAGCTTGGCACCTAGCCTGGCACAGGCCTGGCACCTAGCCTGGCACCTAGCCTGGCACAGGCCTGTCACAGGCCTGGCACCTAGCCTGGCACCTAGCCTAGTACCTAGCCTGGCACCTAGCCTGGCACAGGCCTGGCATCTAGCCTGGCACAGGCGCCGTGTTAACGCCGCTGAGCGGCTGAATGTCGGCTGTTGGATGAAGCTCGTGCGGGGCCTGTAGCAAATGTTATGAAGGGGCCCTAAAAACACGTAAATATTAAAATACATAAATGTTTAACTTGCACAGTAAAGTCATTGTACTTTTCATTTGCTATACAGCCGAATAATACGACAAATCGCTAAGCTTAGACACCCAGTCGTTCGTAAAAAAGTTGAAGGCGGTACAGTACTATAGTAATAGAGCAAGTGCAGAATCACTGAACCGGAATTGATAGCTTGAAAGCATTTAGCGCGGGGCCCTTGAAAGTGCGGGGTCCGTAGCATCACATGTGTGTAGTAGCTACTACACGTGTGTAGTAGCTACTACACATCAAGTAGCTACTACACATCAAGTAGCTACTACACATGTAGCTAATTGTGCTACTGCGATAATCCGGCACTGTTGTGTTGTTATTGTTGGTCGCCTCTCGTCGAATCTTGGCGAAGTATTTTCCGGAGCTCAGACCCGGGACAGGAAGAGACCGGCATCCATCCTCCCACACGGTGGGTTCGTGAAGGAGGAGAGCAAAGGCCGTGGGAGCATAGAAGTACTGTACTTTACAATTTATTTTGCTGCACTCTCCACCATGCAGACCCCCCCAACCCTATGGCCACCCATCCCGACTGGCCCCATGTCCCCCGTATCCCTGCCATCATGCACTCGTGTCCCCGACCCCGTGTCTCCAGTTGTATCCCCATGTCCCCGTGTCCTCTAGTTGCTTCCCGGTATCTCCCGCTGTGTCCCCGTGTCTCCGGCTGTGTCCCCGCGTCTCCGGCTGTGTCCCCGCGTCTCCGGCTGTGTCCCCGCGTCTCCGGCTGTGTCCCCGCGTCTCCGGCTGTGTCCCCGCGTCTCCGGCTGTGTCCCCGCGTCTCCGGCTGTGTCCCCGCGTCTCCGGCTGTGTCCCCTTGTCTCCGGCTGTGTCCCCGCGTCTCCGGCTGTTTCACCGCGTCTCCGGCTGTGTCCCCGCGTCTCCGGCTGTGTCCCCTTGTCTCCGGCTGTGTCCCCGCGTCTCCGGCTGTGTCACCGCGTCTCCGGCTGTGTCCCCGCGTCTCCGGCTGTGTCCCCGCGTCTTCGGCTGTGTCCCCGCGTCTCCGGTTGTGTCCCCTTGTCTCCGGCTGTGTCCCCGCGTCTTCGGCTGTGTCCCCAGCTATGCCCCCGTGTCTCCCGCCGTGTCCCCTTGTCCCCACAGCGAACACGGGGTCTGACGCTGCCCTCTCCGCGTTCTGCCGGAGGAGCGTGGAGAGGGTGCGGCGCGAGAGCCAGGGTCCCAGGGGCAAAGAGACCCCCAGAGGGGTCACGTGGACCCCCAGGGGTGATCCCGATGAGACCCCTGTCCCCGAGGCGCTGCTGCAGAGATTGCGTCTTGCCGCGATTGTGGACGATGTGCGGCAGGTGAGGACGGGGTGTGCAGAGCAGGTGTGCAGGCCCATGGGTGTTGAGTGACTGTGTGGTGGTGAGTGACTGTGAGTGACTGCGTGGTGTTGAGTGACTGTGAGTGACTGCGTGGTGTTGAGTGACTGTTGAGTGTCTGCATGGTGTTGAGTGACTGTGAGTGACTGCGTGGTGTTGAATGACTGCACGTGGCTGCGTGGTGTTGAGTGACTGCGCATGACTGCGTGGTGTTGAGTGACTGTGAGTGACTGCATGGTGGTGAGTGACTGCACGTGACTGGGCGTGACTGCACGTGACTGGGCGTGACTGCACGTGACTGCGTGACGGTGCGTGACTGCGCGTGACTGCGTGGTGTTGAGTGACTGTGAGTGACTGCGCATGACTGCGTGGTGTTGAGTGACTGCGCGTGACTGTGTGGTGTTGCTGTCCAGGCGAGCACGCTGCGGCTGCACGTTCCAGCGCGCTGCTCCGCGTGCCGCGACGCTACCGCCGCCCTCGCCCGGGAAGCTTTTGTACGACGGAAACGGTCACAGCTCCAGGAGGGCAGACTCCAGCGGGAGATAGACGGACACCTCTACACAAAGGTGCTCCTCTAAACACACACACAAACACACACATCTGCGCACAAAGACAAAGATCCCTTGTATATATCGTTTAACAAACTGTTGGGGCAAGAGCTGTCCGCGGGGTTGATGGTAAGGACCCGTCTCATAGTCGCATGTTGCAGGTTCAGCAGTAGTGTCTCCCACTTCTTGTCAGAGTGGGCATCAATCACCAGATCATCACCATGCATAGCATGGTCGAACAGTAGGAATCCATCCCTTGACCGCGCCACGGCATCGATCAGCCTCCCATTGCATCTGCACCAGATCGATATTCCACCGGTACAGCTGTGGAAAGTGTCGCAAACGATGCGGTCAAAGATGTTAAGTTGTGTATTGGGCCAGAGGACATCCCTGTCGCACCGCAGGGTGAATGGGGAATGGCTTTGACGTGAGATCACGCAGCTTTACCTGGGCCTACCCACCATCACAAAGGTCCTTAATGATTGTGAGCAGAGTCGTTTGAGACTCCGAAAGCACGAAGAACAACCCAAAGCCCTGGCCTATTCATGGTATCATCGGCCTTGACCAGGTCAATAGAGCAGAGATGTAGGTCCTATTGAAATTCTCTACATTTCTGCTGTAGCACACAGAGAAAATGGTGTCCGCCAAGACCCGTCTGGCTTGAAACCACGTTAGGGTGTCACAACACTCTCCTCATCGTGTCTGGCAAGGTGATGTTGAATAACCCTTGCCATGACCTTCCCCGGCATACTGAGGAGGGAGATGCATCGGAAGTTGTTGTAATCTGTGCGGTCCCCCTCCTTAAAGAGGGGGACCGCACAGGGTATCCTTCCAATTATATGGAACCTATCCTGCGGACCAGACCATTGTAATAATATCACATGGGGAAGTTTGCACACAGATGCTACCCCTCCCTCAGCAATTTGCTTGAGAGGTCATCTCTACCCGACGCTTTATCTGGTATCAAGATCCGGATTGCCTTTCGCACTTCCTAAAGAGATGGCACACCAGCCAAACCACTCACAGGGAGTGGCTACTTCCTCCAGCATTTGTAGCCTCGCCAGCACCAGCAGGGTCAACCCCACCTCGCCCTCTTATCCTCGGCAGACCGGCTGTGAAATTGTTCTCGGGGTGGGGGGGGGGGGCGGGGTCGGAGATCTATTTCGCTTAAGGATAGTGAGAGGTGTGTCGCTGCAAGTCGCTTTTTTGACGAAGTCAAAGAGTGATTTGTCATCGCAGGCTTCCGAGTCAGTTTCCATTTCTTCAGCGGACGCCGCGACCGCCGCTCATTCTCGCAGCGCCGCACGCTTCTCCAAACCGCTGAGCGAAGGGCTGCGATGAAACTTCTCGGATGTCGTCGGACGTCGTCAGGCGGTGGGAGCGGGGCCTACGGCCTCCGCTAGCCAGAGCCACTGGGGAGTTCTACCCTAAATGCAGCCGTTGCAGCTGCATGAACCTCTCAATTTCCCCTCGGCATTAGGAGGAGGAGAGGGTTGGGGGGCCAGGCCAACCCCAGCTGCAATTGACGATGACATTCTCGCTTGCAATCTACATCGGCAGCGAGCTGAGACCACGGTCACTATGGGTTTGAACGGGGTCCCAGGCGGACGCCCATCACCCCAGTGGAAGAATGGCAGGCGCATCTTACAGATGGTAAGCTGATGATCGGTGGACACATCAGCTCCACGGTAGGTCCCGGTGTCAAGGACATTGGCCCGCATACGCTTTCCCCGTCACTAGCTAGTCCAGCAAATGTTCTTGCTCGGACCCGGCGCGCGTTCGCACGCAACCCTGTACACCAAAACGCACGGCGGGCAAGGTGCACGTGGCAGGGAAACGATGCGATCGGGAAGAGGAGGCTGCGATGGGTGGGACGCGTGTGCATGCGTGGTGGAGGAAGAGGAGGGCACGTTGTCGGGACACGCATCGGCGAGGCACCCAGAGGTCGGCAACCGGGGGGGGGGGCGGTGGTGGTGATTGTGACGCTGTCGACACCGTCCTGGGCATCGGGTTTCGACATCCGGCATTTGGGTGGTGGTGAGATGTGGTGATATCAACAGAATTGGCCGTGAAGGCTTCTTTACTCGGACACTTTACGTGGGCTAGATGTGGTCACGGGACCTGTCCGGTGCGGTGGTTTCTCCGGCTTATCGAACCGGCGGTACCCGTCCGCTGAGGCAGGCCTGCACGGCCGGTATCGCGGAGCTGGTCTGGTGGTGCGGTTGCTCTGGTGTGGTCGGAGTGGTTGTTGTGGCCGGAGGTCTGAGCAGATGCCGGGCCTGATAAGCGGCCCGACCACCGTGTTCTGGGAAACGATTCGTGCCGCACGTGGAAAATATCGGCGTGGTTCTGCTCCCCGATCGCACGGCACAAACACGACGTAAACCTTCAAAGGGCACCGGCCCCGATCAACAAAGCACAGTCCGGGTTCCTTGTACCTTTTGGTCCATGTATTGATCTGTTAATGAATTAGTATGTGGACCATTCTGCGTTTCCGCTAAGAAGTTGTTTCACTCCATAAGTCTGTGCGCGCCCCGCTCCCGTGTGGCACGCAAGCGTTCGTCTCAACCTTAAGGCGGCTCACAACACAAAGGTCTCCCACGTACAGTGAGGGAAAAAAGTATTTGATCCCCTGCTGATTTTGTACGTTTGCCCACTGACAAAGAAATGATCAGTCTATAATTTTAATGGTAGGTTTATTTGAAAAGTGAGAGACAGAATAACAATTAAAAAAATCCAGAATAACGCATGTCAAAAATGTTATAAGTTGATTGGCATTTTAACGAGGGAAATAAGTATTTGACCCCCTCTCAATCAGAAAGATTTCTGGCTCCCAGGTGTCTTTTATACAGGTAACAAGCTGAGATTAGGAGCACACTCTTAAATGGAGTGCTCCTAATCTCAGCTTGTTACCTGTATAAAGGACACCTGTCCACAGAAGCAATCGATCAATCAGATTCCAAACTCTCCACCATGGCCAAGACCAAAGAGCTCTCCAAGGATGCCCGGGACAAGATTGTAGACCTACACAAGGCTGGAATGGGCTACAAGACCATTGCCAAGCAGCTTGGTGAGAAGGTGACAACAGTTGGTGCGATTATTCGCAAATGGAAGAAACACAAAAGAACTGTCACTCTCCTTCGGCCTGGGGCTCCATGCAAGATTTCACCTTGTGGAGTTGCAATGATCATGAGAACGGTGAGGAATCAGCCCAGAACTACACGGGAGTATCTTGTCAATGATCTCAAGGCAGCTGGGACCATAGTCACCAAGAAAACAATTGGTAACACACTACGCCGTGAAGGACTGAAATTCTGCAGTGCCCGCAAGGTCCCCCTGCTCAAGAAAGCACATATACATGCCCATCTGAAGTTTGCCAATGAACATATGAATGATTCAGAGGACAACTGGGTGAAAGTGTTGTGGTCAGATGAGACCAAAATGGAGCTCTTTGGCATCAACTCAACTCGCCGTATTTGGAGGAGGAGGAATGCCGCCTATGACCCCAAGAACACCATCCCCACCGTCAAACATGGAGGTGGAAACATGCTTTGGGGGTGTTTTTCTGCTAAGGGGACAGGACAACTTCACCGCATCAAAGGAACGATAGACGGGGCCATGTACCGTCAAATCTTGGATGAGAACCTCCTTCCCTCAGCCAGGGCATTGAAAATGGGTCGTGGATGGGTATTTCAGCATGACAAGACCCAAAACACACGGCCAAGGCAACAAAGGAGTGGCTCAAGAAGAAGCACATTAAGGTCCTGGAGTGGCCTAGCCAGTCTCCAGACCTTAATCCCATAGAAAATCTGTGGAGGGAGCTGAAGGTTCGAGTTGCCAAACGTCAGCCTCGAAACCTTAATGACTTGGAGAAGATCTGCAAAGAGGAGTGGGACAAAATCCCTCCTGAGATGTGTGCAAACCTGGTGGCCAACTACAAGAAACGTCTGACCTCTGTGATTGCCAACAAGGATTTTGCCACCAAGTACTAAGTCATGTTTTGCAGAGGGGTCAAATACTTATTTCCCTCATTAAAATGCAAATCAATTTATAACATTTTTGACATGCGTTTTTCTGGATTTTTGTTGTTGTTATTCTGTCTCTCACTGTTCAAATTAACCTACCATTAAAATTATAGACTGATCATTTCTTTGTCAGTGGGCAAACGTACAAAATCAGCAGAGGATCAAATCCTTTTTTCCCTCACTGTAGCCTTTAAATACTGCTGGGGCGAGTGCTGTTTCGCGAGTAGCACCTATGAAGGCCGTCAGTGGCACACGAGGTGGTAGGTGGCCAACACCAAGCCTGGCCGCCTTTGTCTCCCCAGTGCTGATGTTTACACACCAGGTACTCATTTAAGGCTGAGCCTACCTAGGGGAGGACCAGGAGAGGTTCATATATTCGACGTTAATATTGGAACGTTTTTTTGTGTTTAGTTTGTTGTCCTTGTGTAACCTCCGATTAGCATGGTTAGCTACGTACGGTGTGAAAGAAGTTCAACATGCATACATACATGGTCATGATCGGAAAATTTATTTGGGTTGTTGGGTTTGGAGCGTAGTGTGCTAACCACTGCGCTACCGCTCCCTATAACAACGGACACACCCACTCACTTGACCACCACACTGCAGGTCACAACAACGCACCCACCACTCACTTGACCACCGCACTGCAGGTCACAACAACGCAGCCACCCACCCACCACTCCTTTAACCACAGCACTGCAGGTCACAACAACACACCCACCACTCACTTGACCACAGCACTGCAGGTCACAACAACGCAGCCACCCACCCACCACTCACTTAACCACTACACTGCAGGTCACAACAACGCAGCCATCCACCCACCACTCCTTTAACCACTACACTGCAGGTCACAACAACGCACATAGCCACCACTCACTTGACCACCACACTACAGGTCACAACAACGCTACCACCCACCCACTACTCACTTAACCACCGCACTGCAGATCATAACAACGCAGCCAACCACCCACCACTCCTTTAACCACAGCACTGCAGGTCACAACAACGCAGCCACCCACCACTCCTTTAACCACAGCACTGCAGGTCACAACAACGCGCCCACCCACCCACCACTCACTTGACCACCGCACTGCAGGTCACAACAACGCACCCACCCACCACTACCTTAACCACCGCACTGCAGGTGTGGTGGTTAAGTATGGTACAAAAGAAATTCAACATGTTTCTTTCCCTTCCACTGCTCCTCTCGATTACCAACAGCACTTGCCCCCAGTGGTCTGTTGAAGGTTACACGGGGGATTTTGCCATTGTGGTACACGAGGTCTGTGTATGTGGAAAAGTCTTTGTGGTGGGTGAGTTTATGCGGTGTGTGAGTGTGTACGTCTCTGCGTGTGCTGTGTGTGGTTTTTTTTTGGTGCGAGAGTGCAGTGTTGTTCGTGTGCGCGAATTATTTGGCTCGCGTGCGTGCGCGTGCGTGGTGTGTACGCACATGTTTCTGTGCATGCAACGTGTGCGGTTTGCCGCGTACAAGCGTGGCTGTGTGCGTGCGCGCGCTTTGGTGTGCATGTGGCACGTGCGCTCTGTGTGTGGGGTGTGTGAGTGTGTGGTGGATCTGTAACGTAGCTCTCGGAGACACCGTCTCGTTCAGTTATCAGTATATTTGTCGTGAGTAAAGTCCGCCGACTCGCTGGTAACGTAACGAGTAACCGCGAGTTGACTATAGACAGCTGGGTAACTTCTGTGACTCAACGCGTCGCTCCCCACGTAGCTGGCTGACTACGCAGGGAGCGGGACGCGTAGTAGTCACGGAGACAATATGTGACCCTAGCCTTCCAAGACTGCAAGGTGCCCGATCCAAGACGATGAAGACGACCCGCTCCAAGATGACCATGGCGGTGACAGCTCCTTGGTTCCTCCACAGCAGCAGCCCAGAGCCCTGTTCCACGCCGGCTTTTATCCACCCCCTCGACCCGGCCACGCCCCTTTTCCCGAACACTCTCTCACCTCCTCATCTGGGCCTGTCTGTCCCTGTCTCAATTATTATTTACGACCACTTAGGTCCCGTGCTATCCTTACGCACAGTCACTTGGAGCCCAGTTCTTCAAGTGACCGCTGCTGTGTGGACCCAGTTGAGTGATTTGCAGTGCATTTTTTTCATAATTGTGATTTTTTTTTCGATACCCGGTTTGTGTGTTTAAGTACGAGAGGAAACCGGAGAACCTGAAAAAAAGAACTCGTGCAGAACACGGGTAGAAGATACAAACTCCATACACTCTCTTACACTCACTAACACGGTGCAGTAGAACAGGGAGAGAACACACAAACTCCATACACTCTCTTACACTCACTAACACGGTGCAGTAGAACAGGGAGAGAACACACAAACTCCATACACTCACTCACAATCACTAACACGGTGCAGTATAACGGGAGTAGAACACACAAACTCCTTACACTCTCTTACACTCACTAACACGGTGCAGTAGAACAGGGGGAGAACACAAACTCCATACACTCTCTTACACTCACTAACACGGTGCAGTATAACGGGAGTAGAACACACAAACTCCTTACACTCTCTTACACTCACTAACACGGTGCAGTAGAACAGGGAGAGAACACACAAACTCCATACACTCTCTTACACTCACTAACACGGTGCAGTAGAACAGGGAGAGAACACACAAACTCCATACACTCTCTTACACTCATTAACACGGTGCAGGAGAACAGGGAGAGAACACACAAACTCCATACACTCTCTTACACTCACTAACACAGTGCAGTAGAACAGGAGAACATACAAACTCCATACACTCACTCACACTCACTAACACAGTGCAGTAGAACAGGGAGAGAACACACAAACTCCATACACTCTCTTACACTCACTAACACGGTGCAGTAGAACAGGGGAGAACACACAAACTCCATACATTCTCTTACACTCACTAACACAGTGCAGTAGAACAGGGGGAGATCACACAAACGCCATACACTCTCTTACACTCACTAACACGGTGCAGTAGAACAGGGGGAGAACACACAAACTCCATACACTCTCTTACACTCACTAACACAGGGCAGTAGAACAGGGGAGAACACACAAACTCCTTACACTCACTCACACTCACTAACACAGTGCAGTAGAACAGGGGGAGAACACACACACTCCATACACTCTCTTACACTCACTAACACGGTGCAGTAGAACAGGGGAGAACACACAAACTCCTTACACTCACTTACACTCATTAACACGGTGCAGTAGAACAGGGGGAGAACACACAAACTCCATACACTCTCTCACACTCACTAACACGGTGCAGTAGAACAGGGGGAGAACACACAAACTCCTTACACTCTGTTACACTCACTAACTAGGTGCAGTAGAACAAGGGAGAACACACAAACTCTATACACTCTCTTACAGTGAGGGAAAAAAGTATTTGATCCCCTGCTGATTTTGTACGTTTGCCCACTGACAAAGAAATGATCAGTCTATAATTTTAATGGTAGGTTTATTTGAACAGTGAGAGACGGAATAGCAACAAAACAATCCAGAAAAACGCATGTCAAAAATGTTATAAATTGATTTGCATTTTAATGAGGGAAATAAGTATTTGACCCCCTCTCAATCAGAAATATTTCTGGCTCCCAGGTATCTTTTATACAGATAACGAGCTGAGATTAGGAGCACACTCTTAAAGGGAGTGCTCCTAATCTCAGCTTGTTACCTTTATAAAAGACACCTGTCCACAGAAGCAATCAATCAGATTCCAAACTCTGTACCATGGCCAAGACCAAAGAGCTCTCCAAGGATGTCAGGGACAAGATTGTAGACCTACACAAGGCTGGAATGGGCTACAAGACCATTGGCAAGCAGCTTGGTGAGAAGGTGACAACAGTTGGTGCGATTATTCGCAAATGGAAGAAACACAAAAAAACTGTCAATCTCCCTCAGCCTAGGGCTCCATGCAAGATCTCACCTCGTGGAGTTGCAATGATCATGAGAACGGTGAGGAATCAGCCCAGAACTACACGGGAGGATCTTGTCAATGATCTCAAGGCAGTTGGGACCATAGTCACCAAGAAAACAATTGGTAACACTATGCCGTGAAGGACTGAAATTCTGCAGTGCCCGCAAGGTCCCCCTGCTCAAGAAAGCACATATACATGCCCATCTGAAGTTTGCCAATGAACATATGAATGATTCAGAGGACAACTGGGTGAAAGTGTTGTGGTCAGATGAGACCAAAATGGAGCTCTTTGGCATCAACTCAACTCTCCGTGTTTGGAGGAGGAGGAATGCTGCCTATGATTTCAAGAACACCATCCCCACCGTCAAACATGGAGGTGGAAACATTATGCTTTGGGGGTGTTTTTCTGCCAAGGGGACAGGACAACTTCACCGCATCAAAGGGACGATGGACGGGGCCATGTACCGTCAAATCTTGGGTGAGAACCTCCTTCCCTCAGCCAGGGCATTGAAAATGGGTCGTGGATGGGTATTCCAGCATGACAATGACCCAAAACACACGGCCAAGGCAACAAAGGAGTGGCTCAAGAAGAAGCACATTAAGGTCCTGGAGTGGCCTAGCCATTCTCCAGACCTTAATCCCATAGAAAATCTGTGGAGGGAGCTGAAGGTTCGAGTTGCCAAGCGTCAGCCTCGAAACTTTAATGACTTGGAGAAGATCTGCAAAGAGGAGTGGGACAAAATCCCTCCTGAGATGTGTCCAAACCTGGTGGCCAACTACAAGAAACGTCTGACCTCTGTGATTGCCAACAAAGGTTTTGCCACCAAGTACTAAGTCATGTTTTGCAGAGGGGTCAAATACTTTTTTCCCTCATTAAAATGCAAATCAATTCATAACATTTTTGACATGCGTTTTTCCGTATTTTGTTGTTATTCTGTCTCTCACTGTTCAAATAAACCTACCATTAAAATTCAAGACTGATCATTTCTTTGTCAGTGGGCAAACGTACAAAATCAGCAGGGGATCAAATACTTGTTTCCCTCACTGTACACTCACTAACACGGTGCAGTAGAACAGGGGGAGAGGCACAAACTCCACGTAAACAAAATGCCAAGGCACCCTTTTGCCACGAGTGCCAAAGCGGTGTGCCACCTCCGGCACCGTGGCCGTTGGAGTTGATTTAAGGTGACGACGAGTGACTCGATGCGAGGTGCAAAGGAGCAGCGCGGAGGGGGTCGGCGCTTCCACCGGCGCGGGGAAACGGGGCCACGGCGTGGATGGCGGCGTGTTCCGGAGCCACGCCGCGGTGGCCAGGGCCGCTCCGGGGGCCTCGCCACGGTGGGGGCGCGAGGGCGCTGTGTGGGCATGTGGTCCCGGAGCGAGCAGGAAGCCGTGTCGCGGTGACTCGGGTTTACATTCACACGCGCGCGTGTGTGTGTGCGTGCGTGTGCGTGCGTGCGTGCGTGTGCGTGCGTGCGTGCGTGCGTGTGCGTGTGTGCGTGTGTGCGTGTGTGCGTGTGCGCGTGTGTGCGTGTGCGCGTGTGCGCGTGTGCGCGTGTGTGCGTGTGCGCGTGTGTGTGCGCGCGTGTGTGTGCGCGCGTGTGTGCGCATGCGTGCATGTGTGTGTGTGCGTGTGCGTGCGTGTGTGTGTGTATGCGTGCGTGTGTGTGTGCGCGTGTGCGTGCGTGTGTGCGCGTGTGCGCAGAGCGGTAGTGCAGCGGTTAGGGCGCTGCGCTGCGCTGCCAAGCTGTCAGCGCAGTTCGATGGCCACTCAAGGCAACAACGGTGGCTGTTATCTGACCCGGTCCTGGGCCTCCCCTAGGTCGACTCAGATTCAAATGAGTACCTGGTGAGGTGTGCAGACATCACCACTGGGGAGACAAAGGCGGCCGGGCGTGGTGCTGGCCACTCACTCCCTCGTGCGCCATATCGGCCTTCATAGGCGCTCGCTAACAGCACCTGCCCCTACAGTCTGTTAAGCTTATACGGTGAATCTTTGTCTTTGTGTGCGTGCCAGGACTCGCTGTCTCTCATTGGGGACATTCATGAGGGATTGCCCCTCCCCTCTGCACCCCCGGAGGTCATCTGGGGTCAGCTGAAGAGCAGAGAATCCTCACGGAGAGACCTGAAGGTGACCCTTATAGAGAGACCCCCAGAGAGAGGAGAGACCCACAGAGATAGACCCCCAAGGAGGACCCCCGAGAGCCCAGCTGATAAACAGCAGCCCCCCGTGGTCACCCGGTCACAGTTGCGACGCCCTTGACCCCTGTGTGAAGGGGGTCACGGAGGTCCCGATCCCTAACCTTGGGCACGGAACCAGTCTGTGCGGTGACACCACTGAACGATCCAGCGTTTTGGAGGCAAGGGTTGGTGGATCAGGGCAACTCCCGACTCTGCCAGGCTGCACGGCGCCATCGCGGTGGGAGTACAACAAGTGGGTTCGCAAACCTGTCTGTGTGCGGTCCTGAAAGTGCTGTTTCCTCGTGCGTCAGTGGTGAGTGTCCTCCACTCTCCGCACTACCCTCGCACGCGCAAATGAATCAAAGATTACTCGATTTGGATCGACCAAACTCATCCCTCACGTGGCAGGGGACCCTCCTTATGCCTACCTGGAGAAATAGATGACATCGTTTAGACTTCGCCATTCCTGAATAAACTGTCTCTCTGTGGCCAAATGCAAATATTTGCAGAACTCCGTTCTGTCTCCATGTAAACGAGCACCGTAATTCATCACTGGCTTTCCACACCAATGTTGTCACAATAAAGAAGGTGCCTTCCTCCACATAGCAGCGTTGTTTTTTTTTGTACGCATCCACTCAGCCACGCGGCCTTTTCTTTTTGCGAGTTTCAATTTTTTTTTTCAGCAGCATCGGTTCAACGCGAGCGACCTCTGGACCGACTTCTCAACCTTCTGGGGGTCTCATCAGCAGTGTCGGGCTCGTTGGAACAAATGCTGCCGGCCTGCCCGCCTGCCCGCTGTGATTGGCAGCAGCGCCCTCGCGGTGTCGTGGTCACGTGGCCACTTTAGGGGCTCTCTCGTCGTGGGACTTCCGAGATTTGGGGGTGTATGTGGGGGGGGGCGGCTTGTAACGGGGGAGGCCGGCCACGGTGGGGGTTGGGGGGGGGGTGCTGTGACCCTAGAAGCCCCCCCACCAGGTGTAGAGCTGTGACCCCCTTTGTGAACAGCAGGGGTCGCTTTTCCCATCCACGAGACGAGCGGGGCCCGAATAATTATTGGAGTGGCCGCGCACGTCCTGCAAGCTCGCGTTGGGCCTTGAGGTGGCGCTCATCCCTTTCAAATCCCTGAGCCGATGGTGGAAATTCGGCATTTCGCCATGGCGGGTGGCGGTGTCTACACGTGCGTTAAACCGCAGTGGAATTCCCCTACAAAGTGGTACCCGTTTTCATCGACCCCCGCACCAGAGATTTGAACTCGCGACCTTCCGATGGCTGCGAGCCGCTGCCGCCGCCGCCTCTGGACCGAGGGAATAAAATAATTGAACATTTCCCTCCGAGTTTCCCCAGTCCCTTTTGAAGTTGCAGGGCGACAGAGTGGACGTTTCGCTTACATCGCTGCGTTGGGACAAGAGGGATCAACTTACAGTGCACAGTTTCTCATCGATTGTAACAACAACACGTGCATTTTCACAGCGACTTCAGTGACGATGTCTCCTCTCGGTTTTAACTTCAGTTTTAAGCCAGCCCCCTTTTGAGGGATCACGACCCCGTTGTGGTGCTGCTAGATGGAAGGGGCCTCACCACCCCTGTGGGCGGGTGGGGGATATTTGACCATGCAGTACTTCATACGGCGCAGAAGAAGTCCAACAGCCTATACGATGCTGGTTCGCTGTGGCGGTTGGGGGGGGTGCCAATAACAGTGCAGGGTTACTGCTACGCTGTTGCCTGCTGCTGCTGCTGCTGCTGCACAGTAGCACAGAGCCCCCCTTGCTTGACATGGGGGCAAGTCTACTCGGCGTAATGGGGGTACCCTCCCCCCCGGTGTGGGTTGATCCAGATTGAACTCCTCTGCGATGAGCTCACGGCAGGGGAACTGCCCGGAACGTCGTCGGTCTTTCTCTCCCACCTCCTGCTGGCCTTTTCTGGCCAGTGTTGTTGACTCAAAGCGTCGACTCTCTCAGCCGCATTCTACGAAGGCTGTATTATTATGATTCTTCTTCTACGAGGGATCTTTGCCTCTGTGTGTGTGCGTGCGTGCGGGAGCTGAATGTCTATTTGGAGTTAACGTGTTTTTGCTTCATTACCAGTAACCGCGTGGGGAGAACCGGCTAAACGGTTACCGGTTATCGCCTAACAATCCCCGTGTGTGCGCGTGGATGCTTGGCTCGGGATCTTTCTCCCCCCCCCCCCCCTCCTCCGTTTCCTTCCCCCTCATTTCCTCGCTCCCAGTGCCCCGGGGCCCCCGTGGGTGGGAGGGGCCCCCTCCCCTGACCCCTTAGCCTCCTCCACCCGCCTCAGAGAGGGGGGTAATTAGTTAATTACCCGAGGTAATTGGTTAATGTCTCTGATGCGGGGGTGAGGGGGGGGGCATGCCCCTCACCCCCAGCCCGCGTGACCAAAGCTCGGTTCTAGCACCCCCCGGGGGCGATTCCTGCTCACGGGCAACGTTTAAGTGGTGAATATTTGAGTAGCTGGTGCGGTGTTGTGTAAAGATATCGCGTGGTGCTGGCCACCCCCCTCCTCGTGTGCCGTGCCACCCTTCATAGGTGCTGCTCGCTAACAGCACTTGCCCCAACAGTTTGTTACAGGCTATACGGGGGGCCTGTGTATATGTGTGTGTTCGTCTATATTGTCTGTGTGTGTGTCTATGTATATATCTCTGTGTGTCTATGTATATATCTATGTGTGTGTTTGTTAAGTCTGTGTTACACAGCATCATTAAGCGGAGCTGCTGGCTGCTCTGGGCTCAATGATCTCTGGGAAGGAATGCGGCGGCCTGGACGAGAGGGAGGGGAGAGGCAGAGACTACCCCCGTGTCGCAAGACTCGGAAAATCGCAGCGATGCAGTATTTCACACGTGCAAAAGACAAAGATCCCCCGTGTAGCCTTAACAGACGTTTGGGTCAAGTGCTGTTGGCGAGCACCTACGAAGGGCGGCGCACGAGGGGGTGGGTGGCCAGTACCACGCCCGACCGCCTTTGTCTCCCCACTGGCGATGTTTACACACCGCACCAGGTACTCATTTGAGGCTGAGCCGACCTAGGGGAGGCCCAGGACCGGCTCAGATAACCGTCACCGGTGGTGGCCGTGAGCGGGAATCGAACTCGGGCCGCCGGATTCGTAGAGCAGCGCGCTGACCGCTACACCACCGCTCCCCGCGCATATACGCCAATAACAGCCGCATGTTAACCACTACGGCACACACACCGCCTGTGCACAAACACAGACACAACAACCACCACCATCCGCCACAGCAGAGTGATGGTGGTGTCACCACAGTGATTGTTTCGGGCTAGGTGCACTTTGAGGCAATCGCTTGGGAGGTTCGCTGGCAAGGACATCACGGGACAGACCCCAGGTGCTGTGGGTTTCAATTACCGAGGTGACTGGCAGATGCACCACCACCTGTGCTCCCCCTCTATGCCAATTTGCTACGTTTAGACGCCCGGCGCGCTCCGCTCGTTGTTGTGAGCGTGGCTCCTCTGCCCTCCGCTATCGCTTACGCACCGCACCAGGTACTTGTTTGAGACCCAGGACCGGTTCGATTATTCATCGCCGCTGTGAGCAGAAAAGCACACAAAGTCCACACGTATACCCTGCGCAGAGACCGAGAACAACAACAACAACCGCCGTTCGCCACTCGTGGCTGTGACGGTACCACAGCGCTTGTGCCAGGCTAGGTGCACCTTGAGCCCACGTGAAGTGTCGAAGGCTCGCTGACCGGTCACAGGACAAACTCGGGTGCTATGGCTTAACTGAGATGGCTGTCAGATGCACCACCTGTGCTTCCCCTCCGTGCAAACTCTCTGCGTTTTAGCTACCCGGCACTCTGCCCGTTGTTGTGAGCGTCGCTCCTCTCGTCTCCGTTGTTGCTGGGGGGCGACTGCCTTCAACTGCTCAGCAGCAGCGTCCTTCACGAGTCTCCAACATCGAGGCCAAACTTGACACCGCTGGGACCAGTCTTCGGCAATTCCAATTCAGCTCCACATCCTTCTATACCACATCATCCCACATCTTCTCTAGCCCGTGCCACTCACCCACTCACACATCAGTCCACCTCTTCTTCAGCCCTTGCCACTCACACATCAGTCGACCTCTTCTCCAGCCCGTGCCACTCACCTACTCACACATCAGTCGACCTCTTCTCCAGCCCGTGCCACTCACTCACCCACCCACTCACACATCAGTCGACCTCTTCTCCAGCCCGTGCCACCCACCCACTCACACATCAGTCCACCTCTTCTCCAGCCCGTGCCACTCACCTACTCACGCATCAGTCCATCTCTTCTCTAGCCCGTACCACTCACTCACCCATCCACTCACACATCAGTCGACCTCTTCTCCAGCCCGTGCCACTCACCTACTCACACATCAGTCCATCTCTTCTCTAGCCCGTCCCACTCACTCACCCACCCACTCACACATCAGTCCACCTCTTCTCTAGCCCGTGCCACGCCTGATTATAATCCCCTCTATCCGGGTCAACAACAATTTGATTGGGCATGCGGGCGACATGATCCCTCCAACGCGGCCTCACCTGCCGGAGGAGCTCGCCGATTGGACGGCGTGCAGATCTTTCAAGGATCTCTGAGCTCCTCACACTGTAATCAAGTCTGGTTAAACCCAGTCTGAATGTTTAAATCCATAAAAGGGGTCCACATTTTGCAAGCAAAGAGAAGAAGAGGGCACGGTTACGTGCATGCCTGTGTGTACCCGTGTGTGCGCGCGTGTGCGGTTGTGTGTGTACGTGTGTATATGTGGTTGTGTGTGTGTGCGGTAGCGGTTAGCGCACTGCACCACGAACCTGGCGGCCCGGGTTCGATTCCCACTCACGGCCAACACCAGTGACGATTATCTGAACCGGTCATGGGCCTCCCCTAGGTCGACTCAGTCTCAAATGAGTACCAGCGTGGTATATAAACATCGCCACTAGGGAGACAAAGGCGGCCGGGCGTGGTGCTGGCCACCCACCCCCTTGTGTGCCGTGCCGGCTTTCATAGGTGCTCGCTAACAGCACTTGCCCCAACAGTCTGTTGAGGCAAAACTGGGGATTTGTGTCTTGTGTGTGTGGTTCTGTGTTCGCGTGTGTGTGTTTGCGGTTGTGTGTACACGTGTGTATGTGGTTCTGTGTGTGTGTGCTGTTCTGTGTGTTCGCGTGTGTGTATGTGGTTCTGTGTGCTGTTCTGTGTGTGTACGCGTGTGTATGTGGTTCTGTGTGCTGTTCTGTGTGTACGCGTGCGTGTGTGCGTGCGTGCGGGAGGGGTCGGGTGGTGACGGTAAAATTCGGAAATCTCCAAGCGTTTGTTTTTGTTTGAGGACGTGGGGAGGAGGCGAAGCACCAAACACGGGCGGCTCCGTCCTTCAGCCCCTACCCCATCTCCCTCCTTCCTCCATCTCCTCCCCCCATCTCCCTCCTCCCTCCTTCTCCTCCCCCCATCTCCTCCCCCCATCTCCCTCCTCCCTTCATCTCCTCCCCCCATCTCGCTTCTCCATCTCCTTCCCCCATCTCCCTCCTCCCTCCATCTCCTCCCCCCATCTCCCTCCACCCTCCATCTTCTCCCCCCATCTCGCTTCTCCCTCCGTCTTTCTCCCTCCACCACCACC